ATCACATCCCAAAGCCAAAAAATGGTGAAATTTTGGCTCCATCAGAGATGATGGAAAAATGATAACAACTAACACTAATAAACATCTAATTTGCCAAACCGAATCACATGTAGTTTACATATGAACAACATTTTATTTTGACCAAAAGTTTCAACATTCAAGTTTGGACTATTAGCCAAACAAACAATATAGAACAATTCACTAGAACTGAATCACAATGCTTACTCTATATCTGATGATAAAGATCAGATATAGCATGAATCCTGTATAAGGCAATGCAGTAGCTCCAAATGCAAGGATGACTTGCCTCCCCGGATTTTTTTTGTATCTGTCTATTTATCATTCAAACTGCAAACAGATATAAATGATCAACTTCACCCAATAATAATTGATCAAGGGAGAAGGTTATCGGTTGATAATGCCAAAAGGGGAAGGAAGGATAGTTGAGAAAATTTTTTTTTAAACGTTTTTCCGCTTATTACTCCAAATTTTTTTCTGCACTTCTCTAACCATACAGGGAGAATTAAATTAAGGGAGATATTTCTTGAACTCATACTTTGCCTTTTCTACACTATGTTTGTCATTATCAAAAAAGGGGAAATTGTTAGAAATGAGTTCAAACCCCTTTATTATTTTTGTGGAATGTTTTTGTTTTGATGAATGAGAAATAGGATGATTAAATTCAAACGATAATCGAAAATTTATTTTTCGTATCGAGAAAAGCAAAGAGGCGTATCAAGAATCTACGGAGATAAATATCAACGCTCTTCCCTACCCATAAGACACTCTACATCTTGTAAAGTTATACCCATTTCTCCAAATGGGAAATGAAATGCATGTACCTCAGGCCTCCAACGCTCCATCAATGCAGTGATGAGGCCATGATCTAATTTAATGGGATGAACTCGGTGTACCCCATAAAAGCTAGGTCTACGTAGATTCTCAATAACCCTCGGGTCTGTACAAATTTGTGGGGATATGACCATCATACCGACACAGTTCTACTTTTTCAACAATATATTTCGGGTCATTCCAAATACGGAGAGAACAATGAGCCGCTTGTAAATTTAATATTTCTAAACTTTTTGGTCCAGCGAGATCTCTTTGCACTTCATCCATCACACTAATACATATAAAATAATTTATTTGTTAAATACAACTTCTGTCAATTTTTTTCTACTTTATCATATTCTCACTTATTTTTACTTTTTGAAATCATTTAATTTATAAATCGGTATATCAATAAGAAATACAAATTACATATTAAAAAACTACGTCAAAAGATCTAAAAGACAAGAGGTGATAATAATCTTTTATTTTATCAAATACTTAATAAAATTGCATAATTAAACTTAAGTTATCGACAAAAAAATTGTAATTGAAATGGGGATGGAGTGAGTATTTTGTAATTAAATAGTTAATGAAACAAAAAAAAGAGATAAGTAAAATATTATATACATTCCAAAATAAGAAGATCTTCTTTTACTCTTTTTAATTCGTAAATCTTGTAATTTAATAAATATTTTTTTTCTATATTATCATATATAGGAAGTTGTCGAGGAAGAAGAATTAAATAAAAAAAGCAATCCATGCTTTGCTATATAAGGAGGGATACATATGGAACCCCATTATTCAATGCATTAAAAAACACAATTCCCACTCATTAAAGTTGGAGAACCCCACTACAAAAGTAAATAACTTTTTCAGAAAAATTGGGATCTCAAAGCCCGTTTTTTGTAGGTCCTATTTTTTTTTTAAAAAATTTTTTTTTCTAGATTTTGAATCCCAATCTTCGCTATCAAGAATTCGATGCTACATTTAAGAAATTATTCTCAATTTTTTCTTACTGCAGGAAACTACCCCACAAAAAGATACGACAAAGGCCAAAATTGCACTAAGAGTGGTGAGACGTGTGATCCTTTCCTTTCCATCTCAATAAGACCTGACAAAAAAATAAACCAACCTGTTTTTGACTCGAATTTTGACAAAAAATACTAGATTTTGAACAAAGATTTTGATGATTGAGTCCGAAATGACTCGCTAAAAATAAGTCAAATCCAACAGAATCCGAACCTGATCTGACCACCAACCCGCTAAAGTAAGAATTTTCAAAATTATACACTTTACTACTTGTTTTTAATGTATAAATTTATATTTTCAGACAAAATTTTAATAATATTACATAATTTTATTACAGTTTTCTAAACTTAAACATTTTTCAAATTCCTTATATTGATTTTTATATCAAAAAATATTTTCAATATTTAAAATAGAATAATAATCTAATAGGGAGGAGTAGTTCTATAGGCTATGTAAGATTTATCGAGAACAAATGAGATAAGCGTTTTCTCTCTCTAACCATGGGAAAGAGAGGGCGACCGCCAAAAGCCACAGGAAAATCCATCGGAGAGGAGCTGGAATCTCCAGATAAGCAGGAGAAATCGTCTGAGTCCCTGGGAGATAAGTCGATCAGTCAAGATCCGCCAAATCTGAGCGCTGATAATGAAGATCCAATAGTCTCTGCCAACATCATCACAGAGGAAAAACCTAAGAGCTATGCTGAAGTGTTGGGAATTTCAAGGGGTAAATTTTAAAAATGGTACCTCAACTTTCACGAAAATTTTGATTCAGTAACTAAACTTCAAAAACCTCTCAAAAAAATCCCTGAACTTTGAAAACCTTTCACGAATGGTACCTGAAGTCGGTTTTAAGGTAACCAACAGGTAATTTTGGCCAAATCTTAATTTTTTATATTTTATAATTTTTAAATTTACCCGTTTCTTTTTCTTCTTTTCCCTCCCCCACCCCTTCTTTGTCTTCTTCTTCTTCGTCTTTGTTAAATATATCAACTATTTAATATATTTAATATTATATATTATAATTATGGTTGTTACCTATTATAGTTAGAGTTATTATTATATAATATTACCTTATATAATTAGTCATTAATGTGGAGAATTCTAGAATATATTCCTCCACCTATAAATATATGCTTTGTGTTTCTCTTCTATTCATTCAAGAAATAAAGCATTATTTGTTATTTTACATGGTATTAGAGCCACCACTCTTGGTGACCTAAATTTCTCTGCTTTCGCTTCTGGCGGGCGGCACCACCATTAACTGCCGCCCGCCGGATCACTGTTTTCTTCTGACCCAAATTCTTCCATTATACAAAAAAAATCTCTGTTATAGTCACCGGTGTCTCTAACGTCATCCTCTTCTCCTAATCGCCGCAGCTCTGACCGGCGACCCCTACTCCACCAAACTACCGGCTTCTCTTAGCGCCAAAATCGCACCTGTTCACTCGAGAGTAACATGAGGCATAGGTTCACTTTGCCTTCGAAAGGGGTGTCCTTGGTGTCATCGGTGTTCTAGGAACTATCAAGATGCATTATCCCTCTAGAGCCTCTGATTTGGCTCATTGATCAGAAATCCTTCTCCTCCAATCACCCTTCAATCCCTATTTTTTCGATCTCTCACAACTCATATCATCACCTCAACCTGCTTCGTGGATAGATCTTCGGTCAACATGCATCTCCGGCAGTACCTCATTCCTTATGCTTCTTCTCTAACCCTGTCGCGCACGACTCCAGCGCGCGTCAACCTTCTCCCTCTTTCGACGTCAGCAACATGAGTCTGTTCGCAGCGGCTTTTCTCATCTCCTCATCAGTGCCTTCACATCTCTTTCCTGGAAATCTTTATCCTTCTCTTCTAGGCCGGATGCATTCAGTCTACTATAGTCAAAGATATGCTTTCAACTTCTGATTACAATTCTGGTCACGATTCAAGTAAAGTTGGCGTTTAATCTTCACCGTTCAGGACGTTGAGAGCATGTTAAATATATCAACTATTTAATATATTTAATATTATATATTATAATTATGGTTGTTACCTATTATAGTTAGAGTTATTATTATATAATATTACCTTATATAATTAGTCATTAATGTAGAGGATTCTAGAATATATTCCTCCACCTATAAATATATGCTTTGTATTCCTCTTCTATTCATTATAGTCTTTCACCCCCTTTTTCTTCTTTTTCTTCGTCTTCTTTCACTCTTTTTATTCTTTTTCTTCAAATCCCCCCTCACCTCATCCCTATGCCCTCTTAGCCCCCCATCCTACCCCCCTTCCTTTCCTCTTTTTTTTTTCAGCATCCCCTCTCACTCTCTTCTAGAACTTCCTTTTTTTGTCTTTCTTTTTTACATTTTTTTGTTTTTTTTGTTTTGCTTTTTTGTTAAAATTTTTGTTTGTTTTTTTATCATTTTTCTTGATACTTTTATATTATTTGTTTGTTTGTTTACGAGTTTTTTGTTAATGTTTTTTTATCTATCCTCTTAAGAAATGTTTTATTTTATTGTTTGTTTAAATTTTTTATTTTTTGATATTGTTTTGTCTTATATTTTTGTTTATTTATCCTTTTTTGTTTGTTATTTTTTTTATATTTTATTTTTTCATGAATATGAAGAAACAAATTAATTAACATTTGGATTCGTTCTTTTTTGTGGGTTGTTCTCTTTTTATGTTTCACTTATTCTTAGCTTGACTTATACTATTTTATATGAGATTGACTCCAGTGAGATGACACCGTACGGTGAGATAACATCCTATATGACGCAAAACTCACCACTGCCAATTGCAAAGCTTACCAAGGATAACTACAAAGCTCACCAAACTGTAAGGCAAAGCTCATCATATTTTTTCAACACTTTGATTTTTTTTAAAAAAATAAAATCAAAGAAAGGGGTGCTGACTGGACTTTGACGGTTGACCAAAACCTTTGACCGCCGATGGCAACTGCCGATCGCCGGAATCTTCCGCCGCCGTCGGTCGCCGGAATCTGCCACCACACCGCCGCCGGTCTCCGGAATATTATACGCGGCCGCTCCGCCGTTGGTTGCAGATTCCGAACACATCTTTTTCAGAGATCAAGTGTGCAAAAATTAATTCAACCATACGCATACCTTGTTGTCTTGTTCAATAGTTTATGATTTAATGTCAATTATTACAAAAGATTTTTGTTTGAAAAAAGTCACGGAAAGGATCCCTCCCCATATACATTCACGGACTGTGGATGATGATGACTGGGACGACGACGACGACGACTAGCCTCCAGCATCGCCCGCTTCATAAACCACTTCCATCGAAGAATTTCAAACTCGTGAGCTATCTTCTTCTTCTTCTTCTTCTTCTCAATACTTTTCAATGGCGAAGAAGGCTGGAGAGAGCAGCGGTGGATCGGGATGGTCTCTTTCGGGGATGACCGCTCTGGTCACCGGCGGCACTCGTGGAATCGGGTATCCAATCTGATCTCCTTCCCAATTTTGTTAATTTTCAATTCATGAAATTTCTCAGAAAAGCATTCCTAGGGGTTTTCGATTTCACTGCGTTCAGGCGGGCAATCGTGGAGGAACTGGCGGAATTGGGCGCCAGTGTGTACACGTGCTCTAGGAAGGAAGATGATCTGAACCAAACCCTAAAAGATTGGGCTTCTAAAGGCCTTAAAGTCTCTGGTTCCGTCTGCGACGCGTCCTCTAGAGACCAGAGGCTGCTCCTCTTCCAGAAGGTTTCCTCCGCTTTCGATGCCAAGCTCAACATTCTTGTGAGTATGTAGGATTCAACATCACATTATTACCGTGTGTCTATCGTTTTCGTTCAGATATAGGGTCTACCTTGTGCTCAACTATCAATCGTTTGGTAAGCATGGGTGGTGCGCCCATGGTAGCACCCTAACATTATTCAAAAAAAGTAGGGTATGTGTGCACATATACTAGGTCGTCGAGAAGTTGTTTTCTTTGATACGATTGAATCTGATCTGGTATGATCTGATCTTATCTAATTAACTATGATTTGATTTAAAATTTAAATCAATAATTTGATTTCACTTTATAACAACTCTTGAAAATTGTAATGATAATTTGTATTATAATACAATCAATGTTTTTATTTTATGATTATTTTTTAATGAAATAAAATTAGTTAATTCATATTTTAGAATAATCATTCATATTATAATGTAATAATACTATTTATTTTATGATTATTTTTTTATAAAATAAGAATTTTGATTTAATATTTTAATAATTAGTTCATATATACATAATAATACATTAGAATAAATCTTTAATTCATATATACATTAAAAAGCAATTCAATTTAGATAATCAATATAGAGAAGAGAAAAGATTTTTATTAAAATATCTCATCTTTATAAAATATCAGCGTGTGCTTTGTATTACGAAACATTTTTTTATGATTAATACACCATAGATATAATAGTTATTTCAATTACACTAAAATATACTCCGTATATGAATATCAAATGTTAATTTTATTTAAGTCATGATCAAAGTAGATCAACTCGATGTAGTAAAAGATCAAAACTTTAGAAACTAAAGTTACAGGTAGCAATAAAAATGTATTTTAAAAGTAGAATTTCATTGACATTTTCAATGTATTTTAAAAATAATTTTTCTGACATCTAATAATTAAGAATTACTTTCTCATTTTTCTATTTAATTTTTTTGTTAAGTTTATTCTTTTTCATTTTTAAGAATTAGTATCACACTCGTGCATTGCACGAGTCATATTTATGTTTCTAAATTATATTAATACCATTTTTGAAAAATGTTACAAATTAGTATATAATTATTTTTTTAAGTTACAAAAGTTAAATGATTTACAATATTTGAAACACTACTTTATAATTCACATTACTCGTATAAATTTGTGAAACACTATTTTATAATTCACTTTCTAAACATTACTCATTGTTTAGAATCTTAAAGTCATTATGATTTATTACTTTTGAAACTACAACATACATTTATCTATGAGTAAAATATAAATAACATTAATCAAAACTCTGGTTAAAAAATTTGTTCAGAGGTAATTGTATTGTTTTTTCGTTTTGTAAAATTGCTAACAAAGTGGAGATCTATATAATCCATAAAAACAAAGGACCATTTATAAAATAAACTTAAAAAATTTGCAGTGATTCGATTTTATGGAAATCAATACTTATAGTGTCTCTATTTTTATGTCTTTGTTTGTTAGCATTTTACTCCTTTTTTATTAAAAATGAAAACAATATTTTTTTCATTGAATAAAATAAATAGTTATCTTACACTCGTTAGACACTCAGTTACAAAAAACACTTGTTGGACAATTAAATGTTTGTGTCCAATTTTTTAAAATGCTAGGTTTCACCATTTGCATCACCGAAATTTGAGGCGATGATGCCACTTTGTTGAGACCATCAATCACCAAATAAACATTATTTGTCCACAATATACAATTTTGCCAATTTCCCCTAAATATTAAAAAAAATAAAAATAAGACATTCATGATTCTCGTAGTAGAATTATTCATACATCATATTCATAATTTATGATTCCATTTAAATACATTATAAAGAGACTTTTATTCGAATAATTATTTTTTTCATTTAACGATAAAAGTGAACTTTTATACAGAACTTCTATTTTATTTTATATTATTCATTTATTTTCATATTATCAAAAATAGTTAATGTTTTGAAAATTTTATTCCAAGTATATTTTATTACCCGTGAAATAAAAAAAAATCTAAGTGTACGTTATTAGTTTTACACTTAGATCAAAATGGAAATAAGTTTTGATTTTAAACTTGGGAAAAAATAGTAATAACTACTTTAAATAAGGTTTTAAATAAATGGAAACTTTAAACTTAAAAAATGGCAATAAGTTTTAAATAAATATGGATACCTTTTTTTATACTCATACAAAAATAGTAATTTTTTAATAAAAATGGAAACATATTCCCCTTTACCATATAATTATTAATTAATAGAATTTAATATTATCATAGCAACACTTACCATTAACTGGCGTATTATTTAAATAAAAACATAAACAAATTCACTTGTTCGAATTACTATTTTCTGTGTTATTAAAAACAAAACATATTAATGTATTTACACCAAAATAAAAAAGCATTTTTAATGCTCATACGAAAATATAATTTTTTAAATAAAAATAGAAGCATATTCCCACTTATCACTTACCATTAATTGATATAGCATTTAAATAAAAATGGAAACATATTCCCTTTTCCACCTTACTGTTTTGTTGTTATTAAAAAACATATTTATGTGTTTAAATAAAAATGAAAACGTTTTTAATGCTCATACGAAATTGTACTTTACCATTAATTATTAATTAATTATTATGTATTAATTAATACTTCTATAAAATTCTCCATTTTTAATGCTCCTATAAAGTTGCCCTTAACATATTTCATTTATCATTAATTATGGAGTATTAATTAATACTTACTAAATTTAATACATACACATACATATAATGAGTAAAATGCACCACATATGGGCGGTAAAGAATTCACTTCTTTTTAAATATAGTATAGATGATAATAATAATAATGATAATAATAATTCTTGATTGGATCTGATATGGTATGATCTAATTAGATCTGATCGGATCTGATTCGATTTGATCTAATTTGATGAGATCTGATATTATTTTAATAAGAATAAGAAAAAAACAGAAAATATAAGTTGAATGAAACGGGACCTTAATCCAAATAGCACATTATACTTATTTTGTTTCCCAGTTTCAATGATGTTTTGGGTAGTAAATGAGACGATGCATCAAGGGTGAATGAAAATAGTCTCTCTTTCAGGTTGGACTATGTATTACATCTTGACCCCAACAAAGTTGGAATTATACAATCACCTCTTGTGTTGTCGAGTGAATTTAAAATGACAATGCTATTTATTTATTTTTTTTTTATTGAAACCTTCTCAACATAACCAAAGCTAATCTGGGTCCAGGTAAACAATGTTGGGACATTCATCCATAAACCAACCGTGGAGTATAGTGCCGAAGAATACTCTTACATCATGGGTACCAACTTAGAGTCTTCTTACCATTTTTCTCAGCTTGCGTACCCTCTTCTAAAGGCGTCCAAAGCTGGATGCATTGTCTTCATTTCATCTGTTGCTGGCTTGGTACATATATCTCTTGCTGGATCCATTTATGGTGCTACCAAAGGTGACATTTATAATCACAATAAATAAGCAATCTTTCCATTACTACGTGTGTAATTGTGTATGTCTGTGTTAAAGAAGGCAATAAAGGTACATAGCTTATTGGTTTGAATTGATTCCCCCCCCCCCCACCCCACCCCACCCCAGGGGCTATGAATCAACTCACAAAGAATTTGGCTTGCGAGTGGGCAAAAGACAGCATTAGGGTCAATTGTGTGGCTCCTGCGGTAATCAAAACCTCTCTTGTTGAAGATGTACGATATTCTTCTCTTCTATCATTTTTTTTAAGAGTGGTTTATGAAAGAACACCGAAAGATTATAGAAATGGCTATCACAAACTTTGCACTAACTATATTTGGTTTATCATATGGAGTATAGTTGGAAAAAAGACTAAACTATGAGTAAAACATAGAGAAAATAGCAAAATATATTTTATTTTATTAAAGATAGAATGTAATATTTTTTTTTTTAAATTGATTATCAAATAATCAATGTGTGTCTAATTTGTGTGTAAAAAGTCAAACTGGACAAACACACCGAGGTCGAGGGAGTAGAAAATAAGAAGGAAATGTTGGCTTTCTATTTTGATCTAGCCCGTTATTTACGTGAAGCTAGAACATTGTCAAAATTTACTCCTTTAGCTTCATTAGAAATGGACAAAGGGTAGCTTTGATACTATGCTTTTTGCACGAATATAGTGCTAAACATTTTTATGGAAATTAACCCTTACCCCAACATGTTAAGTTGGAACTAAGGCGACCCTTCGTTTGAAGGAAAGAATGTATGAATTTTGCCTAACTTAAAACCTTCTATCCGCCTGCAGTATCTTGAAAACAAAGAGATTACGGAGAAGATGGCATCCCGGACACCCATGAGGCGACCAGGAGAACCGCGAGAGGTTTCATCAGTGGTTGCTTTCCTCTGTCTTCCTTCCGCTTCTTATGTGACGGGTCAGGTAATTGCTGTTGATGGGGGTTTTGCAGTCAATGGTTTTGAATGAAAGAATCAACCAAACTACTTATTTGTTTCTTCACACGTTAAAATAACGGTGCATTTTAATTTGTAAACCTCTTCACCAAAGGACCAAACCCCCCTTTCCCGTTCATTGATGGCGTGATGATTTCATCTTTCCTTTCTAATTCGCGAAACCTTGGAATAAATACTTGCAATGCGAGTTGTTACGTTAATCTGCACCATCTATTTGATTTCTTATGAGGTATAAATATTTTCATGGTTCATTTGAGAATTGTTCAGTGTCAATTTATAATTATTGTTAATTTGTGGTTCGTTTGAGAATCTTGAATGCGTATTAACTTTTAAAACATGACCTAGTAAAAAAAGAGATGCTCAAATGGTTCCGAATGCATGTTACCTTTTAATATATAATTGCCGGGTTCTTTTGACACCAAATCTCAGGTTCATAATATAACGTGTCGTTCATTTAGGGGATGTACCATGTTTCGTTCAATCTGAAATTGGTTCTCACCCCTTAGCCCCACCCTCACTTCTTGAATTTGGGTTACAATTAGACTTAGGTTAAACCTTGCTTTTAGATAACCTTTCAAAACATTAAAGTTAATGCCAAATAGACACACCAGTCATGTGTTCTTCTAGTGTTCAAATGATAGACAAATGGATAAATGACTTAATTATGGGGAGGGTTCCATTAACATTGAATTCCCATGTCATGGGATGATCTGGGGCTACTACGGCGCTTTGTTCGTAAAATTTATGCTTCTTATCTCCGTAATCCTTGCTCCCCCTGATAAACCCTCCTCACTCTGACCCGAACCAAACACACCTCCCACCATCTTCAATTGTACCCCAAGTTAATTTTGAACTTGGAGTCAAAATTGACTTCAAAGTCAAAATAGGCTTTTGGGGATAGTGTGTTCGAATCCGGGTGAAGTGGGATGGTTTATCCAGAGAATTAGGGGGTAGGAACCGTTAATTTTACAAACAGAGCACCGTAACAGCACTGGGTCTTCCCATGACATGGGCTTTCGATGTCATTGAAATTTGGAATTCCTCCGCTTGATTATACCGTCTATCTTTCTATTTATTTTTACGGTAATTATACCCGTTATCTTTTTTATCGCCATTATTTCATTTTTAGGCCACCCCTTAAAATACATGGAGTACTATATTTTGATGAAAGAACTGGGCCTAGTGACGTTTCTTCCTCGTTTGCATAAGGGATTGTTTGTTTGAGTGGGTTGTAATTGTTGTTGTTGACTTCAGAAATGTGTAGTAATGACAATTTTATCCGAATCCGACTTTTACCGACCCGACCAGAACTTGTAATATCCAAATCCGAACCAAAAAATCAAATATCCGGAATCGACCTGAAAAAATTTAAACCGAACCCGACTTTTGTCGGGTAGGGTTTGGTTTAGTATATTTGACCGACCCGACCCGACATGTTCCCGACTTCTAATAAATCATTAAAACCCTAAATTTCTATATTCCATGTATTTTTGAGGTACATATTTTTAATGTTTTAAAACTTATTGCATTTTTTGTGTTTTATTTTTATTGTGGTTTAATCTTTTATGTCACACGTGTGATTTTCTTTGTAATTCATGTATTTTTATTTGAAACTTACTATTTATTTTTAAAGGGTTATAATTATTTTTGTTAATATCTTAAATTTATAGTCGTATTTAAAATTTTAAATTTATAATGAACTTCAATCTTAAATTATTCATGAACACTTTTATTGGCATTCAAACCCGAATTTGACCGTACTGACCCGACCGAATCTTGAACTGAAACTGAAACCGAAAAAATACCTATCCAAAACCGATCCACCAAAATCAAACCCGATGATACGGAAAGAGAAGGTCTTCGAGTGCCTTCGTACTCCAAAGGAATTTAGGGTTTATTATTCTTCAAATATGTTTTGGTAATACACCTTCTATTTATAGGTGGTAGAGGGAAACCCTAATCTAATCCTAACCTGTCGGTTCAAAAAAGGCGTCAAGGGAAAGAACCGAAAAGAAAACCCTTGAAGAAGCTTATAAACCGCTCACCTACGAAAATCTATTACACGTAAATAAATGACTAATATTAATATATTATTATTGAAGAACGTAGTCTCCATGCCACCCCGGTGCTTTCTTCGTTCACTGCCCCCGACGTTGCCCGAGTTCCCTTGGGCTCGTAACCCTAGCTTCGATGGACCGGCCTACCTCCACGCTTTGCTCACCCCCATGCTCGGCCCGAGGCCCATTTGTATCATTCTCCACCGCTTGAGAAAGCACCTTGTCCTCAAGGTGTAGCGTCGGAAAGTGTTGCTAGATTCGGTTGTACGGCTCCCAGGTGGCATCATCGCGTCCCCCATCGGACCACTCGACTAGGCACTGCTTAACCGGCCGCCCTCGCACCAGTATTTGTCGCACGGCGAGAATGCGTACCCGCTCCGATACGGGTTGTCTATGCACGAACTCCTCTGGCAGTGTAAGTTGCTCCCCTGCTGTGGACCCCCCATAGTATGGCCGCAGTAGGGACATGTGGAATACGGGGTGAATTCAGGACCCCTCCGGTAGCTCCAGTTTATACGCGGCCTTCCCAACCCGCGACAACACCCGAAACGGTCCGTAAAATCTCCGGGCGAGCTTTTGTGAACTATGACGAACCAGCAAATGCTGCCGATAAGGTTGCAATTTTAATAACACCAAATCCCCTTCATTGAACTGGACATCCTGCCGGTGTTTGTTGGCTGCCGTTACCATCCGTTGTTGTGCCTCTTTGAGATGCTCATGCAACCTACGAAGGAGGGTGTCTCTCGCACCCAGAAAATTGTCGACCTCGGGTACCTTGCTACTCCCTGATGGTATGGCATGAAGGTCGGCGAAGGTCTTCCATACAGCGCTTCAAACGGTGTCATCCATAACAAGGCATGGACACTGGTGTTAAGGGCATACTCGGCCCAAGGTAGCATGACCGTCCAGCGCGTTGGCTTGTCGTGCGTGAATGCCCGTAAGTATTGCTCTACCGCCCGGTTCATCACCTCCGTCTGTCCATCGGTTTGCGGGTGGAATGCCGTGCTCATGGCCAACGTGGTGCCGCTGGCTTTTAACGCCTCTAGCCAAAAGTTGCTGAGGAAAATGTGGTCCCGATCCGAAACAATTGTTTTTGGGAATCCATGAAGTTTAACCACAATGTCAATGAATAGATGGGCCGTGCGGTGTGCGTCGAACCCGGTTGGCAACGCCCCCAAATGTACAATTTTTGTCAAACGAACTATGACCACCATTATTAACGTATACCCCCGGGAGGCGGGTAGACCCACGATGAAATCCATAGAAATATCCTCCCATACCTGCGTCGGGACCGGTAATGGTTGCAACAATCCAGCCGGAGGCTAAGTCGAATACTTGGTTGTCTGGCAGGTGTGGCGCTGCTGGACGTACTCCTTGACGTCGGCTCTCATCCGCAGCCATTAAAAACTCTGGGAAAGGCGATTGAAGGTGCGGTGTACCCCTGGATGGCCTGCGAGTGGTGTGTCATGATGCTCCTGTAGGAGCTGACTTCTCAACGGGGACGTCGACCCAATACACAACCGGCGTCTGTAATACAACAGCATGTCCACCACCTCAAAAGGTTCGGCCAGCCGCCCCTGCCCATGTTCGGTGTGTTTGGCGTGAGGTCAGGTTAGGTTCGGTTTTCCTTGCGTAGCTCCTCAAGGAGTGCCGAAACTAGTGTCGTCAATGTGAGGATTTGGTGTGCTTCCAGGCTTGGTTCGTCCTTGGCAGGATAGAGCGTCCGCCACCCGGTTAGATGCTCCCGCTTTATACTCGATCTTGAACCGATACCCCAATAATTTTCACACATAAAAGTGTTGATCAGGGGTTTGTACCACTTGTTGAAGTAACTCGCATAGGCTTTGGTGACCCGTCCGAATAAAAAATTCTCGGCCCAGGAGGTACTATTGCCACCGTTGGACCGCCTCCACAATCACAAATAGCTCTTTGTGATACGTCAATGCTGTGAGTCGTCGGGGGTTCAATTTTTTGCTGAAATATGCTATGGGCTGCTCCCCTTGAAGGACCGCACCCACACCCGTCCCCGACGCATCAGTCTCCACCACAAAATTGTTCTGTGAAGTCCGGAATCCGTAGTACGGGAGTCGTCGTCATCGCCTTTTTTAAGTTCTAGAATGCTTGCTCGGCCTTCTCTGCCCACTTGAACACATCTTTTTTTAATAGGTCGTCAGGGGACTTGCAATCTGGGTATGTGCTTGACAAATCACCGATAATATCCCGTAAGCCCGAGAAACCCCCTAAGCTGGCGCAGGGTAGAAGGCTGTGGCCAGTGCTCCGTGATTTTGGCTTCATCCGCCTTTAAGACCCCTTGCGTCACTATGTGCCCCAAATATTCCACCTGCGATGTCCCGAATGTACACTTCGAATGCTTGACGTAAAACGGCTGCGTTGGAGGAGAGAAAAAACCTGTTCTAAATGGCCGTAGTGTTCCTCCAAAGTCGGGCTGTAAACCAATATTTCGTCAAAGAACACAATTAGGCAGCGGCGAAGGTACGAGGGAAATAATTGATTCATGCAAGCTTGAAGGGTGAAGGGGGCGTTCGTGAGCCCAAACGGCATGACTAAAAATTCATAGTGCCCGCCATGGGTTCTAAAAGCCGTTTTGTGTATGTCTCGGTCATTCATCCATATTTGATGGTACCCTGACCACAAATCCAGTTTCGAGAATACCCGTGCCTTCCCCAGCTCATCGAAGAGTTCATCGGCTGTTGGGATTGGAAAGTGGTCCGGGACTGTCACCGTGTTTAGGGCACGGTAATCTACACAAAAATGGTAGGTTCCATCCTTCTTTCGTACTAATAGAACGGGCAAAGAAAAAGGACTCCTGCTGGGCCGAATGAGCCCTTAGTCGAGCATCTACTTCACTAGCATCGAGTTTAATAGCCTAACTTATCGTCATATATCATATAAGGTTCTTTAGTTGTCCAAACATCATTTTTTTTACTCTAAAACAAATTGTCTTTGTATTGATGTATCAAAAATATGATTTCATATCTTCAAAAATAGCATTTTCGGACTTAAAATGTTACTATTCATAATCTTCAACCTTTGATCCAATTTCTCAAAACACCATAAAAGCTTCTAAGCTTTAAACTAACTTCATAAAAATGGTTTCTAACATTCATGGATCACCCACAAACAATTTATTTGAAGCTTTAACAACAAAACAATTTTAGTGATTATGAATATCAAAATATTTATATTTTCAAATATATATGAATCAATAAGTTCAAGGATCATTCCAATGCCTCTAAAGTTGTTTAAGATCATGGTACAGACCTAGAAATTGATGAGATGAAGGTCAACGAACGAACGGGAGTGAAAACAACGCCAAAAATCTCAAAACTCGTCACTTCTCGTCACCACTATACCAGCCCTGGTTTTCGGTTCATATTTCCTTCGTTACTCAACGAAATCGCGAACCGTTTGAAGCTACGGCTTCGTAAGACATTAGGCTACAACTTTTGTTTAGAAAGCATATTAAAATAACGACGTTTAGAGGGTGTAAAAATGCTCACAAGTGGGCTGATTTGCACAGGGGATGTTTTCTTCTTTCAACTTTCCGGGGCAACTTCCGGCAAGAACCGTGGCTACCTCCGGTGACTTTAACGGTGGCGATCACTTTCGGATTGTTCTCCACACAACAAGGAGAAGAATAGAAGAAGAATGAAGAAGTTTGGTGTGGGGATGAAGGAGAACAAGTGTTTCTTATATAGGCAAGAAGAAAGAAATGAAACAAAAATGTCACTGCTCCAAATCTTTGTTTCGGCCAAGTGGAGACCCTGTCTGCGATTTTCATGCGATCCTGGGATTTTACACGCCTCTTAGTGATTATGACTAATTTTTATCTCAATTGGGATACACTTTTTGGTACAACTTTCTCCAAATTAAAACCTGATTATATCATTGTGGTCAGACAGTCAAACTCTACTCTACGTGACAATATAATTTTCACATTTTTTATAAAATACTTTTTCTGACACCTTTTTTTAAGGTGTTGACTTTGACAGAGTCAAAATTAAATCAATTGACATATAATTGAAAAAACTCTCATATTCAATCAATATTATTCATTTTGAAAAATTTATTTCAATAACTCATTTTACAAAAGTTCTCATCTTTAACCACTTCTTATTTTTATGTAATTACATATTTAAAATATCAAATTACATATTTAAAATATCACAACTCAAAATCTGCACATCAAATTTATTTATAAAATATACCGTTGGATTTGTCTCTTTGAGACCTATCCATAAAACTCAATTTTAAGAAAAAATCATTGACTCCAAAATTTCCTTCATTTTTGGTCAAACATAGAGATAAAATTTTGTTGGGTCAAAATATTGTTTTGAAATTCTTTTATCATAAAATAACTTTTAGACCATGGTTTAGGGCGTTACATTTTTTCCCCCCTTAAAAAAATTTCATCCCGAAATTTTCTATGGTAAAAATTCATTTCAAAAGTAATTCACAAAATGATGAATACAACACTTTTGTGATTTTTTTTGACAAAGGGTTGTTTTGTACTTTTGTTTGGGTGAGTAAACAATGATGTATTTTTGTTCAAGGACTGCAGCTGAATGATAGATCGTGTTTCAAATTCTTCGAGTTGAGATTCGTGCCAAGTAGATTCACGGATTCTTTTGGTGCATCGTAGGAGTCTTTAACAGTCTTTTTATTATTGCGTCTTTCAGCTCATATATGTTTTTTTTACTTCGTTAGTGTTCTAGAAGCATCCTCAGACTAAGTCTGGAATGTTGGTTCACGGCGTACGCTGATCGTGGTTTGACAACAGACCCACCTAAGGATGAAACTGACGATAAAGAAGCAACAGAGGAGATTGAGTCTAAGGAAAACCAATCTCCTAATGACATTCCTCTAAATGATCTCTCAGATTTCAAAGAAGTTAGTAAAAAGAAAGCTGCAAGAAGAGTATCATTTGAAGAAAAAGAGTCACAGTATGTTGGATACTTACATAAGGATTTAAGTTTAGCCCCATATGAGGGCCATTACCCCTTCTTGTTATGATTGGATGCTGGAACGTAAGAGGGCTCAACAGGCCTAATAAACAAATGGAAGTCTTGAATTTAGTAAAGAAATGCAGTTTGTCTCTGTTTGGTATGTTGGAAACAAAAATCAGGGAAATAAAGTTCAAAGCTATTGAAGACAAAATGTTTAGAGGATGGGGCTCTTTAATCAATAACCAAGCCCACCCTCTAGGGAGAATTTGGATTATCTAGAACAAAAGTAAGATTAATCTACAAAATTATAAAGACTACTTACTGATCAGGTAGTCCATTGCCAAGGAAGATTTATTGGAGAGGACTTCTTCATAACCTTTATTTATGCACATAATGAAGATGTGAAGAGAAAGGAACTATGGGATACTCTTCAACAGATTACCATTAGTACTGCACCACTGCATGGTGTGTATTAAGAGACTTTAACACTGTCCTGCACATAGATGAGAGAATAGGAGGGAACCCAGTTAATTGGGAGGAAGCCAAGGTTTTCAAGAATTGTCTTAACAAGGGTGGATTAGATGATCTACCTTATGAAGGACCAAAACACACATGGACTAACGATCAGGAATTGGAAAAGAGAATCTATTCCAAATTGGACAGGGTTCTAGGAAATGTAGATTGGATGCTAAAATTTGATATTAAGGTGTGTTTTAAAGAAAGGGGTGTCTCTGATCACTCGCCCATGATTCTCCAAAGAATGGGTCATCAACCAGCAACTCATAAATTCAGATTTTGTAACATGTGGACACTAGTTCCTGAGTTCTCTAAGATAGTGGAAGAAGTGTAGATGCAAGAACATACAGGTTTCCCAATGTACCAAGTCATCCAAAAACTCAAGCAACTCAAGAATCCTCTGAAGGGGCTGAATAAGAGGAACTTCCTATCCTTATTAAACTGCATAAACCAAGGAACTACATCAGACACTTAAAGCAAGTTATCTCAAGAAATGCCAACAATCCAAAGCTGACTGGATCACTTATGAGAACCAGAATACCAAATTGTTCTATGCATGGGTGAAGAAAAGGAAAACACAAACTCACTTAAAGGAATACAGAGGGGGTATGTGTGGAGGGGAGACTAGAGGTGGCAAAAGTCATTGTTGATTGTTATCAAAAAGACCGTGAGATGGGAAATGAGCCCTTTGTGAATAAGTGATTGTCTGAGAATGAGCAAGGAATACGCAAACCCTTTGGGAAATGAGCCGTTTGGAAAATGTTTTAATTTCTAATATTCTAATATAAAAAAATCAAAATCGTTACAATTTAGTAATCAGCATTTTTGCATTGCTCTTATTGCATTAATGGTAGGGATTTGTTTTCTAAGAACTATTAAAGAACTATTATTAGTATATTGGGGTTCTGGTGTTACTTTTTTTGAATCACCCCTATGGGAATGGATCTCCCTTTTGGAGGAGGACCTTCGATCACCCAACCAACTCCGGAGCCGACGCCCGAACCCGAAGACACCCGGGAGTACAAAGCTATGGAGAAACATGGGGGTAACAATGGAGACTAAAGACATTGATGCTGATATTATTGGTATGGGTCCTACTTTATCCATAAATCAACAATTGGCCCTAATTGCTCCAGTTACTGTTGAAGAAATAAAGAAATGTTTGTTTGATATACCTAACAACAAAAGTCCAGGTCCAGATGGCTATAGCAGTGGACTTTCAATAAAGTTTTAGAAAGCGGATGTAGCAATGCATCAAAGATCTCACCGAAACAACCTCTCTATTTGAAGAAGTCTAAGGTTGCATACATCTTAAAGAAACAAGACAGCAGACTGAAATTATAATCAAAGAGGTCAGAGTTGAATGTCCAACAGTATATAAGGTTTCTTCTGGGACACCGTGGAGGCTCAGATTTGAGTATACTGGGAAAGTGATATTCCCACACTGCCATGGCTGCAAAGACGCCCATTGGCATGTGTGCCTTGCCAAGTTACAGGTTGAAATAACACAAGCCCAATGAAGAGAAAGTTAACAATTATCATCATAGCCTCGGAATCCTGAAAACACAGGTATGAATAGAGTGAGAGCGGAGAGCAAACAAATGTTAGGGACCATCAGCATTCATCGTTGTGAAGATAATGATGATTATTATTACTGAGTATTTTCATATGTAGTGGAAAGGAGAACAAAATTAATGGAAAAAACAACCATTAAAGATCCTCATCAGTTCCACATATGGGCTGTTGATATTTGGAGAAGAAATCACTGGCATAGCAGAGAGGGTCAACCACCCATCAAGAAACCCTAGTCTTTCTACAAGCCTCATTCATTCTTCATGTCTTCTCCTGCCAGAATTCCACATAAACGTGGCATTGCAACTGAATTACCTAAAATCTCTAAGCATGCCTACCACCCAAGGGACGGTTGTTGTAGGGTGGTATTGAAGGAGCAAACGTGGCCATTCAAGCGTCCAGCCTCTAACTTTGACACACGAAAAACACCGGAGTATCATACAAACTATATGCTAGTAAAGTTTAATTGAATATATGTAGTAAAGATTTATCAAATTATTATTATGTATTTTCCACAAATTCAAAATGATATTTGCCTGTTGTGAAATTGATTACTCTGTATTAATTATAAAGCAAATTGTGAGGACATTAGCAAGCAGAGTGGGACAACTGACATCCGAAACTCCTAAATCCCCCTGCAGCCTCATACAAATTGTGGGAGTGAGAAAAAACCATAACTTACAAGTTGATACAGAGTCAATTAGGTCATAAATATGAATCTCAAATATGAAGATAAAACATGTGTCATGGAATAGCCGACCCATATGGCTGCAATCCGGTTCCTGCCAGATAAATCTCGGAATCCCGGGTCACCACGCCATTACCAAATCGGTTTCAGCGCCATAAGCATATGACTCACTAATAAACTTACAACAGTGAATATGGTGACTGTAAGAAGGGTGAAACGAGAAGTATTTGTTATATGTATGAAGGGACGTTTATTTTTTGAGAAACCATTAGCCAAAAGAGCGGCAACCGGCAACCACCCTTAAGGAATTCGCAACAATATTGAGGCTCAGATTTATGTACCAGGCAAAGGTGGTCGCTCTAACACTGCCATGGCTGCAACATTTACTGTGATGTATGCCCTGCCAAGTACAGGTCAGACCAACCTATGCCCAATATATGGGTCGGAGGGGATAAACGTCGAAATCCTGGGCCACGCAATTAACAAACCACGTTCTCTGCCAGATTCATCAGACTGACAAATAACCAAACACAAGTGTTGAATCAGATATTTACACATTGAGATGCCATTGATGAAACCGTGACTATGGCACCAGTGGCATCCGCAGCCAAGTGCAATAAAGACAAGGAGGAAGATCAAACAAGTAGTTGCAGTATGTATGAAGGGTTGTTTAATCATTGAGAAATCATTGGCAAACAAAGAAGGGCAACAACTAGAAATCCCCAATGGGTCTCTGCAGCCTCATTAAGTAACTCTCAGACCAGATTTATATTGATAGCACCCCGTTTTTTTTTTAACAAAACCCAACCTTGCGCTTTTAATTCTTTATTCATAAGGGTCTGTTTGGTTGGGGAAGGAAAGGGATAGATAAAATGGGATAGAAAGAAATGATTCTCTATTTGGTATACCTGATTTATTGCATGCATGCATGTATATGTATATATGTATGTATGTACGGATGGATGGATACATAAATACATAAAATGTTTTTATATATAAGTAAGCTGAAAGAGTCATTTTTAGAACGTTATACCTTCTGATATATAATGTGCAAAATGAAAAGGACACATTAAAGTTCAGTTGCTTCTTACTTTCAACGAAGTTTTAGAAAGCAGATGTAGCAATGCATCAAGGGTGTCACCGAAACAACCTCTCTATTTAAAGAAGTCTAAGGTTGCATACATCTTGAAGAAACAAGACAACAGACCGAAAATTATAATCAAAGAGGTCGGAGTTGAATGTCCAATAGTATATAAAGATTCTGGGACACCGTGGAGGCTCAGATTTGAGTACTGGGCAAGTGATATTCCCACACTGCCATGGCTGCAAAGACGGCCATTGGCATGTCTGCCTTGCCAAGTTACAGGTTGAAATAACACAAGCCCAATGAAGAGAAAGTGAACAATTATCATCATAGCCTCGGAATCTGGAAAACACAGGTATGAATATAGTGAGAGCGGAGAGCAAACAAATGTTAGAGACCACCAGCATTCATCGTTGTGAAGATAATGATTATTACTATTATTATTATTATTGTTATTATCATTATTACTGAGTATTTTCATATGTAGTGGAAAAGAGAACAATATTAATGGAAAAAACAATCATTAAAGATCCTCATCAGTTCCACATATGGGATGTTGATATTTGGAGAAGAAATCACTGGCATAGCAGAGAGGGTAAACCACCCATCATGAAACCCTAGTCTTTCTACAAGCCTCATTCATTCTTCGTCTCTTCTCCTGCCAGAATTCCACATAGAACGTGGCATAGCAACTGAATTACCTAAAATCTCTAAGCATGCCTACCACCCAAGGGACGGTTGTTGTAGGGTGGTATTGAAGGAGCAAACGTGGTCGTTCAAGCGTCCAGCCTCTAACTTTGACACACGAAAAACACCAGAGTATACACAAACTATATGCTAGTAAAGTTTAACTAAATATATGTAGTAAAGATTTATCAAATTATTATAATGTATTTTCAACAAATACAAAATGATATTTTCCTGTTGTGAAATTGGATATTGATTATAAAGCAAATTGTGAAGTCATTAGCACGCAGAGTGGGACAACTGCCATCCAAAATCCCTAAATCCCCCTGCAGCCTCGTACAAATTGTGGGAGCGAGAAAAAACCATAACTTACAAGTTGATACAGAGCCAATTAGGTCATAAATATGAATCTCAAATATGTAGATAAAACATGCGTCACGGAATAGCCGACTCATGTGGCTGCAATCCGGGTCCCACCAGATAAATCTCGGAATCCCGGGTCACCACGTCATTACCAAATCGATTTCTCCGCCAGAAGCATAAGACTCACCAATAACCTTACAACAGTGAATATGGTGACTGTGATGGCTGCAGCCTGGTACAATAAAGATGAGGAGGAAAGGGTGAGAGGGAGTATTAGTTCTATGTATGAAGGGTTGTTTATTCTTTTTGAAATCATTGGCCAAGAGAGAGAGAGAGCAACCACCCTTAGAAATCCCCAATGGATCCTTATCAGTTACACACTTCCACATATGGGCTGTTAATATTTGGAGAAGAAATCACTGGCATAGCAGCGAGGGTAAACCCCCCATCAAGAAACCCTAGTCTTTCTACAAGCCTCATTCATTCTTTATCTCTTCTCCTACAAGAACCCAACATACACTGTGGCAGCCCAACGGAATTACACACTTTTTATCTCCAAGCATGCCTACCACCCGAGGAACTCATACGTAAACTACAGATTAAAGAAAGAAACTATACCTTTGGATAAAAGCAACCAAATTTCTTAAAGAAGGAATGGTTGTTCTAGAGTGGTATTGAAGGAGCAAACGTGTTCAAGTGTCCAGCCTCTAACTTTTAGAGATGAACAATGAAAGAGTCTCGCCGAAACTATATGCTTGTATAGGTTGATTGCATATATGTAGTAAAGATTTAAAAAAAAAATTATACACCCACCATTTCCCGTAGATCTTTCCATTATGCCTTAAGAGACTTGACCGACTTTAATTTTCAGTTCAATTTATTTGATTGTTGGTGTAAAATTTAAAAACAAGATTTATATGCTAAAAAACTACATCAAAAGTTCTACATAGCAAGAGGTGACAAGACTTATTTTATAAAATGAGTAGTAAAAATAAGCAAACAAAGTGAGTTAGATTGACCCAATAAGTAGTGTTTAGGAAGATCTGTGAGGAACGGAGGGAGTAGTAATGTATTTTCCACCCACTCAAAAAGATATTTGGCACTACATCAAAAGTTCTACATAGCAAGAGGTGACAAGACTAACAACAAACAACAACAACAACCCAGTTAAATCCCACAAGAGTAGGGTCTGGGGAGGGTGTGTGTACGCAGACCTTACCCCTACTCGAAAGTAGAGAGGCTGTTTCCAAAGAGACCCCCGGCTCAACGTCGAAAGTTGCATTGCTTGACTAACTGCTACTTCATTAATTAAAGAAGCGCAGACAGTTTACAAATCCATTTTGATTTATTCCATCACACCCCAAAGCCAAAAAATGGTGAAATTTTGGCTCCATCGGAGATGATGGAAATAAGAGGTGACAAGACTATTCTTTTATAAAATGAGTAGTAAAACCATGACTTACAAGTTGATACAAAGCCAAGTAGATCGTAAGGCTATGTTTATTTGGGTCGGAAAAAAAGTTAGATGTTGGAAAAAACTGGAAATAGATGGATAAAGCTAGACAGAGTTGGAAAATGTTGGAAACAATAAAGTGTTAAAAAAATCACTCAATTAAATAATCACCCAAATAAATATGTAAGAAAACTAATCTTGGGTAAAAAAAGAATTCATTTTTATCTGCGTTGGAAGTGGTATGTTATAAATTTGGATATATGATGTTATTATATATTCATCATATGAAAATGCTTTTTTAGTTGTTGAAAAAACTAGGAGTTAAAAGAAACCGGAAGAAGTTGGAAAAAGTTGAAAGTTAACTTTTCCAACCCAAATGAAGAGACCCTAAATATAAATCTCAGATATGTAGATAAAACATGCGCGACAGAAAAGCTTGCATGTGTGGCTGCAAACCGGATCTTGTCCGATAAATCTCGGAATCCTGGGTCACCATGCCATTAACAAACCGGCTTCTTCGCAACAATCATCAGACTCACAAATAACCAAACACCAGTGTTAAATCAAACATTTAGACAGCGAGATACCATCAATGAAACAATGAATATGGAAACTTTGACGATCGCAACCTCATACAATAAAGACGGGGAGGACGTGAAACGAGGAAGTATTTGTTGTATGTATGAAGGGTTGTTTATTCTTTGAGAAACCATTAGCCAAAAGAGAGGGCAACCGGCAACCAACTTTCTTAAAGGGACGGTTTTTGTGGAGCGGTATAGCCGTTCAAGTGTCCAGCCTCTAACTTTGACACATGAACAACGCCGGAGTCTCACCCAAACTATATGCCAGTAGTATAGTTTGATCGAATATATTTGTCAAAGATTTATCAAAATATTACTTCTAATGTATTTTCTACACATTCAAAATGATATTTGGCTGTTGTGAAATTAAGTTGATTATAAAGCAAATGTGAAGGCATTGGCAAGCAGAGTGGGGCAACTGCCATCCGAAACTCCTAAATCCCCCTGCAGCCTCATACAAATTGTGAGAGTGAGAAAAAACATGACTTACAAGGTCATACAGAGCCAATTAGGTCATAAATATGAAACTCAAACAAGTAGATAAAACATGCGTCACTGAATAGCCAACCCATGTGGCTGCAATCCGGGTCCCTCCAGATAAATCTCAGAATCCCGGGTCACCACGCAACTAACAAACCAATTTCTCCGCCATAAGCACTGGATTCACAAATAATCAAACACCAGTGTTGTGTTAGAAAACTGATAGGAATAACAGATTGGTATGCAGAATAGAATTTTTATTGATTGTGAATTACATTCAGGAATGCTATGTTCCTGGAATATTTATTGACATCAACCAACACAACTATTGACACTAATCAACACATCTATTACTAACTAATACAACTTCCAGAAAATAACTACCCATAACTGCCCCTTTTAGAAACTGCTGTTTTTTTTATTTAAATTAATTAAATATGTAAAACACACTAAACGACACCACACTAATTGACTCTATACTAACTGA